AAATTCGTGCACGGGGGTTACCTCAGCATTCCTGCACTTCTCTTTAATATGGGACCCTTGGGGATGTCCGACTGCCGGTTTAGAGGCCAATCTAAACCACTCACCTTCCTGCATGATCACCCCTAACCACTCTGTCTGGCCAGCCAGCTTGCCCCCAATAGACCCCCCCAACTGGCCTTCTCACCCCCAACTGCCCCACCTTGCTGGCCTGATTGCCCCCAACTGCCCCCCCCCAGCCTGCTCGCCCCCAACTGCCTCCTCCTGCCAGCCTGATTGCCCCAACTGCACCCCCCCTGCTGGCCTCATCGCCCCCAACTGCCCCCCTGCCGGCACACTTGCCCCAAACTGCCCCTCTCACTGGCCTGGTCACGCCCAACTGCCCCCCACTGCCAGCCTGCTCGCCCCCAACTGCCCCCCCCCCGCCAGCCTGCTTGTCTCTAACTGGCCACCCCTGCTGGCCTGCTCGCCCCCTACTGCCCCTCCCTGCCGGCCTGCTTTGCCCCAACTGACACCCCCCTGCTGGCCTGCTCACCCCCATCTGCCCTCCCCTCCTGGCCTGATCACCCCTAAACTTCTCTGCCTCGACCCTGCCACTATGGCTTTGTCTGGGCGGTGGCCACAGAGTCCGGCTTGGCTTCCTGGTCGCTGGGGTGACCCAGGAAGCCAAGCCAAGCCTCCCGCCCACTCTCTAGCCGGCTTGGCTTCCTGCCCACTCTGGCTGGCTCCATGGCTCCAGCCAGTGCCGCCATCTTTGTCGTGTCAATTTGCATATTCCCTCCTTATTGGCTGTGGGAGCCGCCATCTTTATCGTGAATTGATGGTTAATTTTCGTATTACTCTTTTATTAGATAAGATAGATAGATAGATAGATAGATAGATAGATAGATAGATAGATAAACATGTGAAGCTGTTTAACCTAAGTGACTTTTAATTACTGTAACCTCCAAGAATCCAACCAAGTAAATTAAAAAGGAAGTATAAAAGATACTTTCTCTCATCTTTGCTTTGGAAACTCCCTAAGCTGTCATCATTTTTTTTAAAATCCTCACCCCCAAGGATATGTTTTTTCATTGATTTGTTTTTTAGAGAGAGAGAAAGGGGGTGCGGAAAGAAACATCAATTTGAGAGAGAAATATCTATCAGTTGCTACCCATATGAGCCCGGAACAGGGATGGAACCCACAACCTAAATATGTGCCCTGACCAGGATATAAACCCACAACTTTTTGATGTGCAGGATGATGCTCCAACTGAGCCACCCGGCCAAGATGCTGTCATTATTTTTTACATCTTTGCTCCTTCCCTCATTTCAAATTCCAAAGTCTCTAAATTTTTCCCCTCTTATTACAGCATCTCCAACATTTTAAAATTTCTTATATCTATGTCTATTTCTCCCTCCTGGAATAAAAACTTTGAGGACAGGTACCTTGTTTTTTTCCATATTTAGGACCCCAGTACCTGGTACCTGTTTTGAGGCTAAATAAAAGTATGCAGTAACTCTGTGGTGAGGGGGAATAAAAGGGGCTGAAGTTTAATAAAGGGGTTATTTCAGTTCAGGACTGTTTGGAATATAAATCCAAAATTACAGAGAGTATTCAATTTCTACATAAGGAGTAAAATGGTGTGCTTCTGGGTAGTTGGCTGGAATTTCTTTTTGCTATGTAATCTTCCTACTAAATTTTCAGTTTAACCCAAACCAGAATAATTCATTGTACTGTGTATATAAATATAGAATTTATGCACTTTCAGAAGTTCTAAGAAAACCACAGGAGTATGTCTTTGTAGCAGTTCCTGCCCTCACCAGGAGATAAAAAGGTCAAGAGGAACAAACCCTAAGTGCAAAAGTTCAGTGCCCCTTTGTATACAATGTCCATAGTTACTTTGATTTCCATGAATTAAGTTTCATTGAAGAAAATTACAGGTTATTTTTCTGACATTCAATCTCATCAATTCCTATTTTAATAGTCTATGTGTATAAAACTTTGCAAGATTTATATCTTCCATTGGTTGTGATAAGTAAAAATTTCCTTGAACATAAAGTAAGTTTTAATTTCTCTTTAATATGCAAAACTTTGTTCTGAGCACATGTAAAGCTTCAATAATTTTTTTACATTTTGGTGTTGAATTTTATAGGTATATGATGATGGAAAATATGTGTACGTGGTGACAGAACTTATGAAAGGGGGTGAATTGCTGGATAAAATTCTTAGACAGAAATTTTTCTCTGAACGAGAGGCCAGCGCTGTCCTGTTTACTATAACCAAAACTGTTGAATATCTTCATGCTCAAGGGGTAAGTCTTTTTTTAATGTCTTATGTGCATAAATATTATGATATATATAAATATATGTATATGTATACACACATAAGTACACACACATAAATACCTTTTTTTCTTTTCTTCATGTTTGAGCTAAAATTACAAAGGTACAAGTTACTTTATGCATGTAATGGAAAATAACTACTATTAACTTAATTATCCTACTATTTTCCCCATTAAGCTTGAAGTGATACTTTGAAATCCTAGCTTGTTTATATTAAATTCTTACACATCCAAACAAAATGTGGATGATATCTTCTAAACTAGAAGACATAGCATCATTTTGCTAGGCCACTCTGTATTCTTGAGAACTGGGCCCATTTCATGTTCAGAAACAGAACCAGAGAATCATGAGTTGTATTCTAATGGATGAGGCCAAATAGTCACCTGGCTTCTGGCTGGTGGATGCTGTCCTCATTCCTTCCTGCAGGTTATCAGTAAATAGCATAAAAATCATGTTTGTAAAAGAAGGGAAATTTATGGGGTGGGGAGACAAGGGCAAAGGAGAAAACAAGGGGGGGGAGAGAGGTAAAGAGAACAGCAGAGGTGAAGAGGAATGAGAAGCAAGAAAAAAATAAGAGATTACTTCTTGAGTTTATTTTCTTTTTTTAATATATTTTTATGGATTTCAGAGAGGAAGGGAGAGGGAGAGAGAGAAACATCAATGATGAGAGAAGAATCATCGATCAGCTGCCCCTCGAACACTCCCTATTGGGACCGAGCCTGCAACCCGGGCATGTGCCCTGACCAGGAATTGAACCTGTGACCTCCTGGTTCATAAGTCAACCACTGAGCCACATTAAGGAGTTTATTTTCAATACTTATTCTCATTGTGTTTCTCTTTGCCCCCTAAAAGTGAACACTTAGACTGTTTTGATTTAATACTAGAACTTCTTGACTTCTAGCTGGTCAGTAGTCACCTAGTACTGTAGCCAGAAATTAGTAAAATTCGGTGTTCCTTGAAGAGTTTATGACTTTGCAGTCATCTAAGTCTTCTAAGTTCTCTTCTCAGTGCCTTGGCGGTAAGAAGTTATTAAGATGATCTGGAGAAGTCATGTTCAGGATGTTAGGAACTAAAACTGGGGTCATTGATCAGAATATAGACTTGGAATTTGATGATGGAAGAAACATATAAGTCTAAATAAGGAGTGAGAGGCTTATGATAAAAGAAGTATTCAAGTAGGTGATTAAAGGAGGAAAATAATACAAAACTCTAAAGGAATGTTATCTTTGTGTGTGTGTGTGTGTGTGTGTGTGTGTGTGTGTGTGTGTGACATTGTTGCATGGATAGCAAATAGGGAATACATAAAGTCTGAATTTTTTTTTCTTTTTACTCCTAAACCCTATGCCTGATCCATTGAGCCTGTCAGCACAAGTTTGTTGTGTACAACCATTATACATACTGTTCCCTCTACTTAGAATGCCTGTTCTCCGCTGTTCTGGCTTGTTTATTCTGTTCTAAAGATCTTTAATCAGATGTTACATTCTCTAGAGACCCTCCCTGACCTCCCTAGTTTTATGCCCCATCTCTCACCTGTTTATTCTCTGCCTCCCGACACTACCGTGTGAGCTCCTAGCATATAAAGGCAAGAATCTTATGGGTCTTCTTCACCATAATATGTGCAACTCCTTATATAATACCCTTGACACATGATAGGCACTCAATAAATATTCGTTTAATGAATGAATAACCTGGAGACAGATATTATTGCTATTTGCATTTTTCCTTAACCCACTTACTCAATTGGACAAAGAGTGGGGAAGTAAACACTACTCTTTCTTCCTTTTCTCTTTGCTCTAGTTCTGTGTTAGAGTTACACTTACATTATCAGCATTTTATAATGTTGGGATAATTTAAAGGCCAGCACTCATTATCTTGTTAAGTGCAGTCCCTGACAGTTTTGAATAAAAAATTTTCTATAATGGAAATGTATTGTAAATGTACCTCTTTACTTTGTATTTCATTTAGGTGGTTCACAGAGACTTAAAACCAAGCAACATTCTTTATGTGGACGAATCTGGCAATCCAGAATCTATTCGAATTTGTGATTTTGGCTTTGCCAAACAGCTAAGAGCAGAAAACGGTCTTCTCATGACACCTTGTTATACTGCAAATTTTGTTGCACCAGAGGTAATTATGAAATAGTTTGTTTACAGTATTTTAGTATATTTAAAAACTCATTTTCTGTATTTAATATAGAATAATTAATAGTTGTTTAATTGAAGACTTACCAAACAAATAATTAAAATAAAATAGCAGCCCTTTTTCTTCTGTTGATAGTTTATTCTGTCATCGGTCCACTGGTACCTATAATCCTCTTCCTGCCCTGACTTCTGTTTTTCTGTATCCGTAGCTGTCTGTTATCACTTTTGTGCTTGTTGGTGCATGGAACTAAATAGAAACTCACTTATATTCCACCTTTCCTAATATCTTTCTAATTCCCTGGTTTTGCCACTATCTTATGCATCTCCAAGGCTAAAACATCATGGTGTCTTCTCGTCCTTAGCTACCTGACTAGTTACCATTTCTCATCCCCCGAAAGCAGTTCCGTTTTCTTCTGTTCACAGACTGCCACCCTAGCCCCTGCTTCCCTCACCACCCCTCAGGTGACTGCCTCAGCCTCGGTGCACCTTGCCCTCTTATCATTCTGCGATCATTCCACAAGAGAGCTGCAAAGCTACCTAAGTCTTCTTCAAGCACTACTTTGATCAAGCTGCTTCTTTTCTTAAGTAATTGCAGTCCCCCATTGCAGTAAATCTAAACTCCACTGCTTTGCCCTCAAGATTTCATATCTTTATCACTGTGTAAAAAAAAATGTAACTATGAACAAGATAATAGAAAATAATAGTAAACCTTAATATAGGGCTTATGTGCCAGGCACATATATTAACTGATTTCATCCTGACAACATGTAGTTTCATTCTCATTATAACTCATTCTCATTATAACTGTGAGGTGAGTACTGTTATCAGCATTTTACAAGAAGCCAGGTACACAGTGAGAGGGTTATGTAATTTGCTTGAGGTCAGGTCTACATTTGAGCCCAGGCCATCTGCTGCAAAGTCTGTGCTTTTGGTGTCCAAGCAAGGCCACTTAATCTAGCCATCTTGTTTTTCCTACTGCATGCAAGCAGTCTACTTCTAGAAATCACCCTGTAGCTGTTGCACCTGGGCTTATTGGAATGTTTTTTGCTTTAAAACCTACCTCCAAATTCATCTTCAGGATATCGACCATGATTAAACTCTCCTTAGACTTGATCTTTTAATTCTTTGTCTCCTGTTCTCCATTTTGTCATCCAAGTTAAAACTTTGAAATCTTCCTGAAAGCCTCCCTATCATTTTTCTACATCCAGTCTGTCACCAAATCCTTTCCATTTTGTTTTCTAAATATTTCAGACCTTTTTCTCCTTACTCTATATATCCAGTCTCTACTAGTGCAAGTTCTCACAGCCTTTCACTTAGTTGGCTACAAATTGCTTCCTTTTGGGTCACCTTGTCCCCAGTCTTTCTCCTTGCCAGCGTTTCCTCTATACCTTGAGTCAGTGGTTCTCAACCTGTGGGTCGCGACCGCTTCGGCGGTCGAACGACCCTTTCACAGGGGTCGCCTAAGACCATCCTGCATATCAGATATTTACATTACAATTCATAACAGCAACATTACAGTTATGAAGTAGCAACGAAAATAATTTTATGGTTGGGTCACAACATGAGGAACTGTATTTAAAGGGCCAGAAGGTTTAGATCCACTGCCTTGAGTTATGTTTCTGGTATACACATCTCCTTATTTTATTTTCCTGTTTAATGCTTCAATGACATTTTTTTGCCTACAAAAAAAAATCTAAATTCCTTAACAACATGTGTATAAAATCCTTTCAGTCTCTCTAGTATCACCTACCTGGAGATCTGGCCATAGAGAACTATTGCTAACTATACTCTGCTCTCTTGCCTCTGCCCTTTGAGTGTCCTCTATCCTCCCTCACCTCCTTTTGCCTCCTGAATTCTTACTTACAGGCACAGTACAAGCAGGCTGCCCCCTAGCCTTTCTTCTTTCCTCATATCAAGAATGAATTGTTTCCTCATCTTTATACCCATAGCACTTCAGACATAATTGTATGATATTTATCATGTTGAATTGTTAACTACATAACAGGGTGCGGCAAAAGTAGGTTTATAGTTGTGAGTACATGAAACAGAGTTTATTCTTGTATTATTATTTATTAATTATAGTATTATTTGCCATACTAACAAATGTAAGCCTACTTTTGCCCCAGCCTGTATGTTTATTTCCCCTGTCAGATTCTGATTTTCTTAAGGAAGCCAGAGTTGTTTTGTATTGTCACAGTTCGTGCCTGATTATAGTTGGTGTTTATTAAATGCTTGAGTGAGCTGAAATATATATACAGTGTATATATATATATATATATATATATATATATATATACAGTGTGTATATATATATATACACACACACACACACACACACATATATATACAATTTCACACTATACATTTGTGCTGTTATATGTGGTCTTAAAAGTACCGATTTTTGTAACCATTTCTATAGCCCCATACAAAATATACATTCATTTAAATAAGAAACTTACCTTCATAGTTCTCCATGTGCCAAGGCAGCATTCAATAAATGTTAATTTAAGAGTGTGTGTATATATATATATATATATATATATGAATTATTAGTAGTAGAAGGTTCTAGAATAGGATTAATATATTGTCTTGTTTGTTAATCATGTTCTATTGAGGTTTTTCTTTTAATTTACTGATTTTAGAGAAAGAAAGGGAGGGAGAGAGGGAAAGGGGGAGAGAGGGAGAGCTAGTGAGAGAGAGAAAGAAAAAAGAAACATTGATTTGTTGTTGTTCTTATTTATGCATTCATTGGTTGTCTCTTGTATGTGCCCTAACCAGAGATTGCTCTAACCAAGTGAGTTACCCAACCAGGGCTTTTCTTACATGTATTTATTTAGGAGATATAATCCCATTCCCACAACCTATCTAAATATATATAATAAAGAGTGGTGTGTTAATACTAATTTTTACTTTTTCTAGGTTTTGAAACGACAAGGCTATGATGCTGCTTGTGATATATGGAGTCTTGGTGTCCTCCTCTATACAATGCTTACTGGGTAAATATATATTATATATGCTATAGGCATTTATTAATCAATATTTTGTTTATATTATCTTTATTTTTTAACCTTTATTGTCATATCTTATTTATGTTTTTTTATATTAAGTCTAATGAATATTTCATAACATACCTTAACCTGGTGCTTTGTGGAGCAAGTATTACATTAATTGAATTACTCCAAGTACTTTTGGATACCGCAAATAAATATAAAGATTACCATCCAAAAAAGAAATTTTATCAATTAGCATTTTAATTTTTTTTAATAAATTAGTTACACTCCATTTGCAAATGGCCCTGATGATACACCAGAGGAAATACTGGCACGCATCGGCAGTGGAAAATTCTCACTCAGTGGTGGTTACTGGAATTCTGTTTCAGATACAGCAAAGGTAATTTTTCATAATTCTTGGTGAGAATAAATAATATCAATTAGAAACTTGTTTATAAAGTAGTATTTTGAAGTGATGTTACCAAATAAGTTGAACTCAGAAATGGACCAGTTATTTTGTTTCTTCCCCAAAAGGCATTGTTTGGGCTTTGTTATCTATACATCTAAAGTTACTTCTTGCTGAGGAACATGATAAATAGTAATAGTCGTAGTCTTCATGATTTGTGTATCTACTCTGTGCTTCATGCTGCACTTGACCTAAATTATCCATTTAATCCTCTTAACCCTGTAAAATAGGTGGTAGTATCTCCATTTCATAGAAGGAAACCAAGGCCCAGAATTGTAGTGTGAACTTGTCCATAGTTACATACCAGATGCATGTGGGCACTTCAAAGTAAATAGCTGATTCCAAAGCTCTCAACCCCTAGAATAACTGTACCATGTTCTAGTTTTGGTCTATATTACAAAGAACGGGGTCTTTTCTTTTTCACAATAAACAGTAGTATAGTTTTATAGTGCCAGCTGGAAATCCATTTAAAAAGCCTTTCTCACTGGAAGATCTTCCATCCCCTGAATAACACTGACTTGGTTTCCACCTCTACTCTAGTTTCACTGTATTCATTGAAAATTTTTTTTTCCACTTCAAAATAAGAAAAACATAGAGGAGACAAAGAAGATAAATACTGGTAAAAGTGTTTTGCTGATTTTTCTTACAGGTGGAACTTGAGTTGATTTGGTTTTATAACTGAATTTTAAAATGAAATGTTAGTCTTCTCCTTTTTAACAATAAAATTTCTTAAACCAGAAAATTTCATTTTTCTAGGTACTTGTTTCTTTTTTAATTCATGTGTTGAACATCTACAGTGTGCTTAATAAGTGTAGGCTCCAGAAATAAAAGATATGACTCAGAATTCCTGTTCTCAAGGAGCTCACAGTCTAGTTGGGAAACAGCCAACTAGTGTCACAAGTGCTGTTGTAATGGTACTAGAGGCCCGGTGCATGAAATTCGTGCATGGAGGGGGGGTGCGTCCCCTCAGCCCAGCCTGCACCCTCTCGCAATCTAGGACCACTGGCTCCTAACCGCCTCTGCCAGCCTGCCTGATCGCCCCTAACCATTCCGCCTGCCTGCCTGATCGTCCTTAACTGTTCACTTGCCTGCCTGATCACCCCTAACCGCTTGCCTGCCTGCCTCATCACCCCTAACCACCTCTGCCTCAGCCCCGCCTCCACGGCTTCTTCCGGAAGGTTGTTCAGCTGTCTGGTCTAATTAACATACAGTGGGGCCTTGACTTACGAGTGTCCCGACTAACGATTTTTTTCGAGATACGAGCTGTCTCTCGGCCGATTTTTTGCTTTGAGTTGCGAGCTAAAATTCAGATTACAAACCAGCTTCAGATACCCCACCGCTAGTTGGCGCAGCGAACGTCACAGTGAACGCCACAACATCAGCCCAGCATCACATGTCTCACTCGTTCACTTTTTGATTTGACATACGAGTAATTTGAGTTACGAGCTCCATCACGGAACGAATTAAACTCGTTAGTCAAGGCCCCACTGTATTACGCTTTTATTATTATAGATGTTTTCTCTGATAAAGAAGTTCAGATGATGCTCAGTCAGAAAGATTTCAGGGAAAGTTCCAGAAGCAATGGAGGGACTTTTCAGGTAGCTTTGGGGAATAGAAGGATGTAGTCCAGCCCATGCTGAGGGATCAGCACATGTGGTTTGTAATCATGATGGCAAAGGAAGGGCAGAATGTGTGCAGGGAGCTGCGAGTGGTTTGATATGACTAGCACAGGATGTATGTAAGAAGGTAGCTGATGAAACCCGATTATGAAAGGCTTTGCAGGTCATGCTCAGGATTTGGGGTTTCACTCTAGGTATTGGGAAACTGTTGAAAAATATTAAGCATTATAGTGATCAGATTTTCCTTTTTTAAGTTCACTCTGTGGAGCAGTAATTTTTACCCATAGAGTTGGCCACAAACTTTGTCATGGTCAGTTGTGGGCATATCAAGTAATGTTACCAAATAAAGTATCAGAGCTTAGACATTGCCTACTTTTTTAATAAGTTAAAGCAAGTCACGGCTATCTCTCTAATTTCTATAATTTGGTTCTTACTTGTATTCCAGTATGCTTTTTTGAGTGAAAGAGAAATGCAGGTGAGGAGGAGATACAAATAGACCACAAAATATTGCATCCATTTCGCAGCCTGTGCTATAAATGCCACATTATTACAGTAAGCCCTCAATTTTGTGGACCTCAATTTAACAGACCAGGTTTAACGGACAAAATTTCTAGTCCATATGTCATATGTGAAAATTAACACTCTGTTAATTTTAAAATGCTTTTAACCAAGATTTGCTTATAGTTAAATAATCAGATAATTTTTATTATTACTTTACTTTTATTTTAAACAAATTTTAGTGAATAGGCTATATGTTGGAAAAAACTGTAGTAATTTCACCGACATAAATAAATATTACATATCTACAGCTATAGTCTACATATTTAAATCTGAGAGTCACCGCTTGAAAACAATGTTCAGTGAATGGTTAGCATGTGATCACACCACATTGTCGTATGGTGTGACTTTCTGCAGCAGTTCCAATGTATGCTGTGCTGGCCTGAGCTAAGCCATGCCCCAGCCGCTGTATGCATTTGTTTACTTGCAGTGACTAGTGAATGCACCCATTTACTAGGCCTATTCAGTATAAATTTAAAATTACAATAATACATATAGAAAACTTTTCTATGAAATTAAACTTTTCATACATACTTAATTACACAAACATGTCTACATAAGTAAAAACAGGTAAACTAATTTGTCAAATTTTTAACATACGCATTTGGAAAACCTACTTTATTATATAACAGACTTTTGGCTTTAATGGACACCCCCTTGCCTGAATTTGCCCGTTATATCGAGCTTTTGCTCTACTAATCATTTTTGCTAATCTGTGCAGTTAAGACTTGAGATTACAAGCATGATATAATATAGTAAATATCCACATAATTGGGAGAGATGACTATCAATCTGATATGTCCCCTCAAGAGCAAGTTGCACATGTGAATGTCTTCAAGCCTATGTGTCTTTGAGAAGAATAGGACCACAGCTACCATTTTGAGCACTTATGTGCCTACACTTTTATTATTTTTTTATCCTCACCCCAGAACAAGTCCATTGATTTTTATTTATTTACTTATTTATTTATTTTAGAGAGAGAAGGGAGAGAGAGAAATATCAAGCATTTGTCTCCCACATTGGCCTGACCAGGAATCGAATGTGCAGCCATTTTGTATATGGGACAACGCTCCAAACAACTGAGCCACCCAGCCAGGGCATCCAACACTTCTACTTACATTACTTCATTTAGTCTTCACTGACCTAATATTAGGGATATTACACATAAGGTTTTGCAGTATTTGGGGTGATGAATGATGAGTAAACCAGAACAGTTCTAGTAGGATTTGAGTCAAATGGAAGATAAATTTAGGAGGCAGAATAGTTTCTGGTATATTGGACATAAGAAGCAACGGAGAAGCAGATATCAGGAGTGCAGTCCACATTTCCACCTCGGGCAAATAAGCACTTGGTGGCGTCCTTCACCAAGATGTGGAATACAAAAGAAGTAGTTTTCAGAGGAGTGATGATTGCAGATTTGGACGTTATGAATTTGAAATGCTTCTGTGATGTATAATTAAGAGATATATATCCACTGGGCCAGCGGTCGCCAACCGGTGGTCCATGGACCACTGGTGATCCGTGAGGTCCGAAAGGTTGGCGACCGCTGTACTAGGCAACTGGCTATATGGATGTAGATTTTACCAGAGAAGTCTGGGGGGACATTGAATTTAGGAATTGTCATCATCTGTAGTAGCTAAAGCCATGAGCATGAATGAGCTTATCTGAGCAGAGGGATAAGAGAGCCATGGAAGGAATTCATTTCAAGAAAAAGCTTAGGAGGAGCTATTGAAGGGTAGTGGTAGAAGTGATTCTAAGTGACTTGGCCAAAAGGGCACTGGTTAAGACACACACCTGAGTAAAATTATAATAGAGTTATGTTGTGCTTCTGGGCAGTTTTGCAACCTTTTCTTCATTTAAAGCATATTTGCCCACATTCAGAATTTGGAAGGGGAGGTCCCTAATTGTTTTGCTTTTTATGTATAATTCCATTCATTTACTCCTGTTCTTAGCTGTTAATGATAACTAAAAGTAAGAACCTATAAATATCTAATAGCAGGGGAGTACTTGGAATAGTATCTCCCCAATATCCAGTCAACCAGCAGGTTCTGTCAGTTCTATCTCTTAACTATCTCAATTCCATCTATATTACTCCATCTTTTATATCCACTCACCAAAGCTATTATCTCTCACCTGTCTCAAATTGGAGTCTCCAGGCTTGCCTCCTCCCATCTATTTTCCTCCACACTTAGTGAGTGTAATCGCTCTGAAGTACAAACCTGATTGCATCACTTCTTTGTTTTAAATGATTCATTGCCTCCAGAAAAAGTCCAAATTTGCTAATATGGCTTATAAGGACCTTCACGATCTGGTCCTTTCTTACCTCTCCCACTTTATCTGCTGCCATGTTTTCCTTTACGATATATGCTGCAGCTACATCACATTCTTTTCAGTTCCTTAATGTGACATGTTCTCTCCCACCTGAGGGCTTTCCCTCAAACACGCTTTGTTCTACCTTCCTGAAATACTCTGTTTCTCCCTTCCTTCTCTAATCCAGCTCCTGCCTATCCTTCAGGTCTCACATTTCTCTAAAGGAATCACTTCAAAGCCACCCTGCCTTGTTCAGGTCAGATCTCTCTCTGTGTTCCTCTAGCTGCACCTCACATTTATTCATCCCATCAAAGAACTTACTCTTTGCTTTGTAATTGATTCCCTCACTGGGCTAAAAGCTTGTTGAGGTCACAGTTCCTTTCTATCTTGTTCACTGTTAAATACCCAACACCTAGCAGAATGCCTGGTCTTTAATGGATACTCAATAAATATATTTTGAATGAAAATCAAACAAGCCCTGGCCAGTGTGGATCAGTTGGTTGGGCTTAGTACCATGCACCCCGAGGTCGCTGGTTCAATTCCTAGCCAGGGCACTTGCCTGAGTTGCGGGTTTGATCCCAATGGGGGTGTGCAGTAGACAGTCAAACAGTATTTCCTCTCTAAAATCAATAAAAAAACATTTTTTAAAAAAAGAAAATGAAACAAGTAGTGCATGGCTTTTACAATAAATCACAATTGTGTTATTTTGGAGAGTATAAAACTATATAGCAATTATGTGGATCTGTGTTTCAAGCGTAGGAAAGCATTTGGCTAGATAGAAAGCATTTGTCTCTGGAAGAGTAGGATTCTGGGTATTTATGTTCTTTTGCTTCTCTGTATTTTTTATTTTTCTATAATGCCCAGGAGTTGCTTTTAAAGCAGTGGTTCTCGCCCTAGCTGGTTTGGCTCACTGGATAGAGCGTCGGCCTGGGGACTGAAGGGTCCCAGGTTCAATTCCAGTCAAGGGCATGTACCTTGGTTGCAGGCACATCCCCAGTAGGGGGTGTGCAGGAGGCAGCTGATCGATGCTTCTCTCTCATTGATGTTTCTAACTCTCTATCCCTCTCCCTTCCTCTCTGTAAAAAATCAGTAAAATATACTTAAAGCAGTGGTTCTCAACCTTCCTAATGCCGCGACCCTTTAATACAGTTCCTCATGTTGTGGTGACCCCAAACTATAAAATTATTTTCGTTACTACTTCATAACTGTAATTTTGCTACTGTTATGAATCGTAATGTAAATATCTGATATGCAAGATGTATTTTCATTGTTACAAATTGAACATAATTAAAGCATAGTGATTAATCACAAAAACAATATGTAATTATATATGTGTTTTCCGATGGTCTTAGGCGACCCCTGTGAAAGGGTCATTCGAACCCGAAAGGGGTCACGACCCACAGGTTGAGAACCGCTGTTTTAAAGTAAGAAAAATAGAATTCTGTAATCTTAGGAAGGGCATTTAGAACTCTAATTAAATTAATGTTATTGGATAGCTCTGCTTTTCAGTATTACCAACACACACAAAAAAAGTTTTACGAGGCTAAAAAATCACTTAGAAATAAACCTATCAAAATGTGGAAACCTCAGAATATCTAAGGGGAAAAAGGAGCCAAAAAGCCCCAAAAGATACATAAAATATGGTAATTCACCCTTTATAATGCACCAAAACTACTGTCACTCAGAGGAGAGACTTAGGTTTTTACTTTTTAAAAAAACAAAACAAACACAGCCCTAGCTGGTTTGGCTCAGTGGATAGAGCATCGACCTACAGACTGAAGGGTCTCGGGTTCGATTCTGGTCAAGGGTACCTGCCTGGGTTGCAGGCTCGATCCCTAGTAGGGGGCGTGCAGGAGGCAGCCGATCAATGATTCTCTCTCATCATTAATGTTTCTCTCTCTCTTCCTCTCCATTCCTCTCTGAAATCAATAAAAATATATTATAAATAAATAAACAAAACACAAATTGTCATGTTGACCAAATAATTGTTTTTGATACTGGACACTAAACAGGTCTGAGGCCACCTGTCAGTACTTGAACCAGATTAAGCAGAGACAGGGTTGAATCATATATGAGCATTTATTCTAATAATGCCGACAGTATGGGCAGAGTAGTAGGTCATCCTTAAAATTCTGCTCTGCCTTTTTCTGCCAGCTGGCTGATTATATAGGGAAGATGAGGATAGCTACTTGCAGCTGCAAGTGTAACATGGAAAGGGGAGGGGAGGGTTGGCAGTCTGGCCTTCAGGAGCTCAAAGTCAGATAACAAGGTGGCTAATCTTCTGTGATGTTGCAAACAGCTCAGCCCGTTCCTGGGACTGGAGAATAGTCAGCATTCCTGAGAAAACTCCCGGAGGGGGTCAGGGTCTGGGCACAGCAACTAAGTCAAAGCACATCCTGTTCTTGGTCTGCTTTTTAAATGTTTGTGGGTTTTTTTGCAACATATCCTCCAGTTTCCCAAGGTCTGTAAGAAAACCTCTTATCTATAGTTAGTAAGATGAATAATCATTAAGCAACTGTGGTCCTATTCTTATTACGTGCCCTTCCCCCTATCATTTTGAGCCCAAAAGGCCTACCTACTGCCAGGAAAAAATATTGTCATAGTTAGGAAAAATGCTCAACAGTATAAGAAAATCAAACAAAAAGGTTTAAGCTTGCTTTATTATTATTATTATTCCCATTATAGGACCTGGTGTCAAAGATGCTTCATGTGGACCCTCATCAGAGATTGACTGCTGCCCTTGTGCTCAGACACCCTTGGATAGTCCACTGGGACCAACTGCCACAATACCAACTAAACAGACAGGACGCACCACATCTGGTCAAGGTGAGCAGCCCAATTCAGGTCCTGTTTTCCATGTGTCCTCTAAGAGAGACTGTGAGATGCCCCCTCCATGTCGCAGCACCTGGACCGGTCACTATCCCTCAGCCTGCATTCAGTTCTCCTGTGGGATTCTCTTACAGTGGGTGATTTAGAAAAGAAAAGGTCAAGCTGTGCCGAAGTGTTGTAATAAATCTAGTTTAAGAAAGACCTCTAAATTTCTGAATTTATCCATCAGATAAGCTTATGGATTTCCTATTTTCTTTATACTTTCTTATGCACAACCCAAAGCAAACTACAAGTTCCAAAAGAGCATGCTTTGCTGCCTCTGAAAATAAAGATTGCAAAGGAAAAAAAGTTGAACAGTCCTGAGAAAAGTGAGGACTGCTTGTTATGAAGCCATCCCTGTCTTATCCATTATTTCAACCTCCCACATTGGCCTCTTCAATTTTAGTTAAATCAGAGGGTTTGGCCAGTGTGGTTATTTTCATTATGAGGCTAATAAAATCTATATGTTTGCTAGTGAAGAAATTATCTGGGGGAAAATGTTCATTTCATGTTCTGTGTACATGACTACCCATTGTCATTTCTGTTTGGATATTTCTTTCCTGTTTTCAGGGTGCCATGGCAGCTACATATTCTGCTTTAAACCGTAATCAGTCACCAGTTTTGGAACCAGTAGGCCGCTCTACTCTTGCTCAGCGAAGAGGTATTAAAAAAATCACCTCCACAGCCCTGTGAAGTGACCTCAGTGAAATATTTGGTACCATGGTGTAAGCTGATAGCACAAGTTCTGGCGACAGGTAGCACATATCTGAGAGACACCTGCAAGCACACACTGTCCCAGCTGGTACCCATAATGCTGCTGCTCCTGCTGCTGCTCCCGCTTTCATCTCTTCTCGCTTTACATGATTGTTAGCAAGTTAGATTTTCCTGGAGCTTCGGATGAAATGGAAATGGAAACATGATGAAGATATATTCACTGAATCAATAAGAAGAAGAATGAACATATGAATACCACCTAAAAATACACTGAATAAAGTACTCTACACCATATAGCATTATTTTTATAGAAAATATTTCATGTCCCTTAAATATTCTTTGTTAGTTATAGGGATGGACAGTTTATGTTAAGCACTTAGCTTAAACAATCCGTTTATATTAGCACTGTATCCCTTGTGCCATCCAACATTTTGTATGTTTTTGTAAACAGTTCATATACAGTACATTTCTGTACTGCTTTCTTTAATGTATACATGCCTTGTTTAACTTGGAATCTTTTATTAATAATCAATTGACTATTAAATCTGGTTAAATAGTTCACCTGGATTAACAGTATTGTTGGACAGCGCTAAAAATGGCCAGATTGTAGAACAGCTGTTGAATGTAATACTTCCAAAATGTACATATCTTTCCCCATGTCTGTTTCACTGGTTCGTTCGTTTGTTACTTAAAGTCGGGTGCTCTGTCAGACTAACTTGTAGAGCTGTTACGGTAGAGAAAGTTATATGTCTGTGGCATGACATCAAGAGTACACCTATGAAGTTAGTTCATATACTTTGCAATTCTTTAGTGTTCTTTTTTTTAATTAAGGAAGTAGTTGTTGCACTTTTAATCTTAAATAGTGTCCATACTTAAAATTGGCATATAATTTGGAATTTTGCCAATATACATCCAAGGCCTGTGGTGGAGAAATTGGCCAAGGAAATTTTAGCAACAGGTCATTCAAGTCCCAGTGGATATTTCATGTTTAAGTAGATCAAATTGCAGAATTTAGCGTATGAATAACAAGATACCTGTTCTTGTATACCTGTGAGAAAAGTATGCTTTTTTGGAAAAACAGTAAATGAGTTCTATCCCATTACGATGCTTTATATTAAATACTAATTTGAGTGTAATAAAAGCCACAGGCCTCTATATGAAATTGGATTAAAACTTTCTTATTCTAGGGAATAAAACATTCTTGATCAAACAATATCTGTTCTAACCTAAAATCATAGCTAAGGTAGATTAAGTGAATATCTAGCATTGAGTGTTTTCTGAATTTCTCCTGATGATTTATAGCTGTGTAGTACTTCCTTTAACTTCAGATATAATCACTTTTCATAATGGTCACTGAGTCTGCTTAGATTACAGTATTATCTACATCTAATGTGGTAGTTTCCATAATTTTATTTGATTAAAGAAATTTCTGTATCCATTATGACCTGTATCTTTGCCAAGTTACCTAGCATACATCAATATGTAATATTGAAAACATATGAGCAAGGATAAAGTAATTTAACTTACCTCATCAAGAATGTGCCCAAACAGATCTTCCTTCGTCATGTATTAAGCCATTTATATCAGAAATCTTTTTCCTGCCAGAAACTTTAAGTCTTTCACTTGAGAGTACAAAGCCAAGAAAGCGTGGTTTGTCTGTCTTGGAAGCACTTGTTATTCCTTAATTTCTCCTGTATGCAATTAAAGAGAAAGGAAAAATCTATAACATTCCTTTTGCCCAAGTGACCCAAAATGGTTATTGCATAGAAATCAAATGTAAGTTTATCTTCTAAAAAATGTGTAAGAGGAGGGATTTCAGAAGATCCAGATGGAGAATTTTTTAAATTCTTGAATATGTAGATGCTTTTCATTGCCCAGAAAGAAAGCTCCTTCCTTCCTTCCTTCCTTCCTTCCTTCCTTCCTTCCTTCCTTCCTTCCTTCCTTCCTTCCTTCCTTCCTTCCTTCCTTCCTTTCTTTCTTTCTTTCTTTCTTTCTTTCTTCTTCTTCTTCTTTTCTTCTTCTTCTTCTTCTTCTTCTTCTTCTTCTTCTTCTTCTTCTTCTTCTTCTTCTTCTTCTTTCTCTCTCTCTCTCTCTCTCTCTCTCTCTCTCTCTCTCTCTCTCTCTCTTTCTCTTTCTTTCCTTTCTTTTCAGTGTCTTAAACCCCAGTCATCCCAAATTCTTGTAGCTTTTAAAATGTTAATGTAAATCTGGGCATATATTCTCAGATTTTTTACACTGATGCTATTCCATAATTGCTTAGGTGTATTTTCCCAGTGTAGTCTTTTAGAATCAGAAGTAAATGTGTAAACCCTTATAAGTCATCTAGTCCAACTTTCTTGTATTGCATGTAAAGAACCTGTGACCCAAAGCAAAGACTAGAATTCTTAACTTTCCATTTAGTTTTTTCCCCCCCATAACACCATGCTGCCTTCCCTTCAGATTATCAGCCAACCAGAAGCTGAGTTATTCAAAAACTACATATTTCTTGGGGCACTCCTCTACTGGTATATGAACTCAAGTTTATTGCTTTCAAAGATAATTGCCTTCTTTGCCTAGTCCAACTGCCAGTTTTGTTGGAAAAAAGCAAGTTATATGTTCACAAAACTGAAGGCTTTCTGCCTAAAAAGCAGTTCGTGAGCATAATTTATTGTATCTGTGGTTCTGGTGTTCGTATTGCCTTTGATTTACAGCAGACAAACTTGGCCAACAGTGTGCTCTACATGTAGTGCTTGTGCTGGGCTAACATTTCCATCCATTTCTTCACCTCCATTTCCTCCAGGCCCCTATAGTTGTGGTAGTGAGGCCTTCACCAGTTAGTGTTGCTGCTTCCCAGGCTTCTCCCAGGAGGTTTTAGTTCAGTCTTAAAGATACTTCAATGTGAAAGAAGGAACTAAACTATCAGGCTACTTTCACAAACCTCCTCTTAGCTTATAATTAAAAATAATATCCTAAATGGTAGATTGCATTTAGCATTGCCAAGCGTATACTGGAAAATACAGATTATACTACCATGTGTTTTGTATCTTCCCTTGCAAATGATGATATTAAACTAAGGTAAGTTTTTGTCCTTTTAATTTTTTTATATAAATTATTTCCACTCCCTCTAATTTATAGAGTTGATGTCTTCTTTTAAGTACAATAGACCCTTGTGTGTAACAGATTTGATATGGATTCATTTATTCATAAGCAACCCCAAAAGTCCAAAAGTGTAGTAATGTTTGACAAGGCAGAGTCGAGATGCTGTGAAGCTGATGGGTGGGAAAAGTCAACTTAGAGTCTGGAGAGGGTGTGGTGTGTGTATGGCAGGAGATTCCACATTTCCCACTTGGTGGGCTGCAAAGAGCAAATTTGGGTCAACCATTTCCCATCTGTTTTTAAGAAGTGGTATGGGCCAGGAGACATCATGGGAGGTGGGATTGGCCTGTTACCTGTGCCCTGCACCCTCGGCCCAGGAAAGACTTGAAGGGGTAGAGGGGTGCAAAGGCTTCATGAATAGACAGAATAGTTTGGGTAGGAAAGGGGCTGGGATAGGTCCAGCCTGAGATGAGAGCAGAAAAACATTCAAGATTTGGGGGCCTTGGTACAGATATACTTAATGACCATGGAAGCCAGCAATACACATCTCAATATGACTGACATTCTCTATTTCCTGGCTTTTATTATAAATGTCCTAAAATTTTTCAGTTTTCTTAACTGTATTTTATAGAGAAAATTCTCTCTTAACGATGGTATCAAGCACTTGAGATTTATGAAGACATTAGGACAGATATCTCAGGAATGTAAAGGGTCAGAAAAGGTCTGTTTTGTCTGATTAACAAATCCGATGGGTTTCATGGCTGACCCTTGGTGCTTAAACCAGGAGGTTCCAATCTAGTTTTAGAGTTCTGTCCCTCCGAAAGGTCCAACTCCATGTGACTAACAAACTGGATGTATACTTTGAGCCTTATTTAATTCACAAAGAGGTTGACTTACCTCTATTTTTATTTCAACAAATGAAAATAGCCCTCTTTTCACCTCCAGATTGCTTACATGTTGCTGGTCTCCCCAAGTGACCATTGGTGGAGACCAATTAATGAAGGAATGAAATTCACTTTCTTGGGACTGTGGTATTCTGCAGAGCCAAGCTTAACCACTTTTTCTAGTGAAGAATCTACAGAGTGATAATACCTAAGTATGGATGGCCAAGAAGAATTTATATCTACAGTGTGCTTTATGTATTTTTGACACTGCTGTATTCTGTGTGATCGAGTGACTTGTAACTGGTTCCAATGTGAGTGTTCTCAAAGAATCCTAGTAATTAAGTTGACTTAATTTTCTTAAGCCTTGTATTACTATTAGTCTCACATTTACCACTTTGATTCCAGTCTTTTAACTGTTCATAACAGGGCATACCAAGGGTTGGGATAAGAGCCTACTTCCTACCTCTTAAGGCACTTTCCTCATTATTTTTCCATGTAACCTTGAAGTGCATGATAAGCTGTTTAAATGTCCATGACTTCTCCCAGAGCAACTAGCAAAGTATATGACATTGAATAGAGATTAGTGGAAAGGAAAATTTAGAAACTAAGTTCAGAGGTTCAAACCTCAAGAAAACCTCTTTAGAGCACATACCATTTGAGTACAATATACGTAAACGTATGTGAGAGGAGAGTTGCTATAATAGTCCTCTAAGTAGATTAGTTCATTATCTAATGGAAGTGAAAATCTTTACTCCTATTATCACTATAGTACTGAATGAACTGTATACTGAGTTTTTCAAACAAGTATTTAAAGTAGAACTTTTAAATACCAAGCAAGGGCATAAGGATAAAGGTTTGGGTTTGTGTTCCTCTAAGTGTAGTGTTCCATCTAAAGCTTTGTTTTTTAATCGAAAAATGCTTCAAGGTATTGCCATTTCTTAGCATTCTTAATAATTATGGGTGATGAGTTTTTAATTCTTAAAATTATGTATGTGTATTAGGTTTATCTTAAATGTTACCCTACGCAGAAGGGAAAGTATACACCTAAGGGATGTAATTATTTTGCATTTTTGGGTGGGAATGGGGTGGGCATCTACTTAGATAGTTTTTAAAAAAAATCACAAGTATTTTTCTACTATTATATATCATCTTACTTTCTACTAGTTTCTCTCTAGTAAGGCATGCCAGAAGCCCAAGGTACCATATCATGAGTTCTTATGTATTGTACCTTTTATTGGTGGTTAAATTGTATCAGATGCTTGGCACTGCTGCCATAATTATGAAATGCTTGTAAAGGATTACATATCACTGAATACTTTAAATTGTTTTACTTAAGAGTCTAATCTGGGGAAGTTTTCAAATCATACTATTAATGTGTAATCTAAGCTCTTTCAGATGTATCCATGAATAATCCTGGAACAATATTGCTTGTATTCCTGTCACAGAACAGGTTTTGTAATCTTTAAAAGAAACGAAAATTTATATAATAAAGTTTCAAACAAATGCATGTATGTTCCTTTATCAGGTTATTGCAATTACATGTTGATTCTTCATATTATCAAATTACTCTATCCAAGGTATACATTTATCAAATTGGATTGGTAAAACTTAAAACAGGAATGTCTCTGAGTTAATAAGAAGTACGAACTAGTTTTTCTATGCAAAGTTTTCATTAGCCTAAAGAGTTTGTTAAATAAGACTCACATCAGTCATAGATCTTACCCAATACCAAACTTGATTAATCATTCAAAGGATACAGGGTAATCACCAGGCACAGATGAGACTCTTTTCTTAGAGAAGTCCAAGATTATCAGATTTAACTCCAAAATAACCCTTTTCTCCCTCATAATGGTACATTTTGAATTGATTCAAAATTAAAGAACAAGTTTTCTTCTGTGCGATGTATGTGGAGACATTGTTTAAACAAAGGGAGTCATTTGGTTTTGCAACACCCCCTTTTTATGCCTCATTAATTACACAGTTTAAATGTTGAGTCCTCGTTCTCCATCCAACCATGCCTCATAAATCCATAAATTACAAGTTTTACAAGAAGCTATCTCTATAGACCAAGTGTATCTTGCTAAAAGCATTTTAGAGATACGGACTTTTTGTTTTATTTCTGCTAGTAAATGTCATTAGCACATTTAAAAGGAAATTTGAGATCATTGATTGCTGGTAGAGAGGGAATGGGTTATAGGCCTGCAGTTATCCTTTCCTTTCCAGCAGACATTTGTAGTAGTTTTATATTATGATAGCATATTAGTTTGCTAGGGCTGCCATAACAAAATACCACAGACTGGCAGAAATTTATTTTGTCACAGTTCTGGAGTCTGGTTCAAGATCAAGGGTCCAACACCCTATCTCCAAACATATTCTGAAGTATTAGGGGTTAGGAATTCAACATGAATTTGGGGAGTACACAATTCAGCCCATAACACTGAATTTAGGTCTTCCCTCCCTCCCTTCCTCCTTTTTTTCCTTCCTGAGCACCTACTATGTGCCAGACATTCTGCTAAGTGCTGGTAATGGTAAAGCAACAGATATGGTTTACAGTGAGGTAGGGAAGACATTTATAAAGTAATAACGTCATGCAGATATTATGCTTTGGTAATGGGGATGGCAGGAAAGCGTTGCCCATTCCTTCAGACTGCCAACTGCTAGGTCGGGTGAAAGAGCCACGTTAAAACAGATGAGATTACAGTTGATGAGTCAGCTGCTCAAACCCTGAGAGGCTGGTTTGTCACAAAGCAGCAGAAGTCTGGTGTCAGCCAGCAGGGGGCGCACCTGAACCAGCCCTTTACTGGGAAGCCTGGGTCCCTCCCACTTCCTCCCTGACTCCGCCTCCTCCTTGCTCATGGCCCCGCCCCCTACGTGTTCCGCCAACACTCCCGGAGCGCGTGTCGCTCAGCTTTAACAATAGGGGAGGGATCAGGCGGCCACGCCTGCGCAATAGAGACAGGGGGCGGGCCCAGGCGGCGTTGGAGGCGGGGAGAAGCAACGCAAGCAGATGCGACGCCATTTGCTGCCGGCCGTGCGTGTGTAAAGCAGATCTTGGAAGAGCTCGGTCTCGGGACTCTCCCGCGCACGCGACCGGCCTCTCGCGCCCGCTTGGTACCGCGGGGCTCCACGCGTTACCCCTCGCCCCCCTTGGAGGAATCGCCGCCGCCGCCCGAGTAAGAGTCGGAGTCGCCGCGAGGCCTCTGCTCCCGCCATGCCCAAGAATAAAGGTAATGCCGCCTGGACCCCAGGACCACGACTCCTCTCTGCCGGGTCTCGCGGCTATCCTTGCGGCTTCGGGATATCCCAGGCTGCCGTGACCTTCCTCTCCGCTCGGCCTGCAGGTGGCTGGGCGATTGGGACGCCCTCCTGGGCTCGGGAGAGGAGCTGGGAAGTTACTCCTGTCTTCCAGTTTGGTCACATTGGGGTGGAGCCGACGCCATTTTTGTAGGGCCTCCTGCCGGAGAATGTGGGCTTTTGCTCCTGATTCGCGCCACAGTGACCTCGGCGTGGTGGGGACCCATGGAGAGACCTCCCCTGGGGCGGCGTGGGGTTCGCAAATGGCCGCTTTGGCCGTCCTGGGCAAGGGGAGTTAAACCCTGGAAGCAGTTCTTAACTTCCAGAGGGTGATGCTTGCTTTAGTGACCGTCAGGTACCCCTAAATGGGTTTCTTTATGGACAGAAGTTGAATATTGTTGAGACTACATCTCTCTTGTAAACAGTGGGCGAAACCTGGATGCAATTTTGAGGTTCATCTCTAGAGATATACCCTTCCCCATCCCTTTACGGGGTTTAACTCCGCCACACACACACGCACACGCACACACTTGTTCCATATTTATCCAAGTTTTCTAGTTTTGTTTCAGATTATATATATAATAAGTTCCCTCCATTCTGAAGTTAAACATTCACAAGTTACCAGACTTGAGGATAAGTTTATTTGGAATTTCCAAAATGAAAAGCCTAGTCTAGGTAAAAGCAGAACAGTCCTAAAGAAATTCTCCCTTTTTTAGACTTAAGGGTGTTTCTGCTTTTTTTTTTAGCATCCCTCTAATTTCTCAAAGGAAATTGTTCAAGTAGAAACTGGGAAAATTTGTTTCTGACAGAAGAGGAGCTTATTTCAGAACCCACAAGAAGTTTGCTTTGGTTATTCATCCTGAGACCCCCTGCCCTGACCTGGCCTACTTCCGTTCTCTTTTCTGCCTCACAGCTGGCTACAGCGTTTTACCTCATTTCCTCTGTAGCTGTCACTACTCATTTTATCCCTTGGGATTTTTGGTTGCAGTTCTGTGTAAGATTAGTTGCAGTTATCTGTAAGATTTACTGCAGTTCCCTCAGGGCACGCTACAGTTATTACCCTTAGAAATCTAACTTGTGGGTCCTTTTTGGAGCAAGGATTTTACTGCTAATAATTTTTGGAAAGATTGGGTGATAAAATAGGGTTTTTTAAAAGTCATAGTTTTCTTGAAACCTATGTAATCCTTTATTCCCTATGAGATGGTAACCAGATCACTTTAATGGGTATCTTATTCTCACTTTTATTTCTAGCATGAGATTTCCAATTCCTTCACTAGACTGTAAGCTGTAAAGGGCAGTAATAGTATTTGTCTTAATAACATTGGATTGCTAGCACTTGACACTTAGTAGATGCTCAATAAATATTTGTTGGGTTAAGTCACCTCCCTTCTGTTGAGTCCACCCTTAGGTGGATAATAGGTTACCCTTTAGTTCCAAGGATAGGACTTCTGCATTAAATCACATCTAGTTCACTAGCCTCCTTCCTTTAAAGTTCATTCCATTACATGGCAATAAAATAGAGAGGGAGGTGATCAGGGTATGATTAATTCTGGTAAATTGACAAGTGATGAATCACTTTTATAAGTAACATTTTGGACGTACAAAAATTATAGATAATGCAATGAACACCTGGGAATCCATTACTCCAAACTTGAGGATTACAACACATTCAGTTAAAGCCCTCTGTGTCTTCCTTCCTTACCTTGGGGGAAGGTGCTCCCACATTTTGAGGGCCTCACTACCTTTGATTTTAAAATTACCACTCCTTTAGGAATATGTGGACTACTCTTGACTGACTTATTCAAAGACTTGCCAGCTCTGGTATATAACTCAACAAACAAAGTAGGTATGATTCTTGTCCTAATGGAGCTTTCACTTTAGTTTGAAGACCTGGCATGATTAGTGGCTTGAAGCAAAAGGTACTTTTCTTAGGGAATTAGTTTTGGTGTGCCCTAAGAATGCCTCAAATACTGAATTCTAAGGACTCTGGTGAGTCAGGAAATTGTAGAGGCCCGCCTAACAATTGCACAGAGCATTGTGAGACTGTACCCAGGACAGGGTAAGTGCACATGATGATGCAAGAAGTTAAGTGTGTCTGTCTTTAGAGTGGCCAAGTGCACACTCTATTCTGTTTGGGTTATGAACCTTTTGCTGCTTCCACACTCTTCCCATATGTCCCTTAATCTCACTACCACATAGCCATTTTTGGAAATGACTGCCAGGGTCTGGAATGACACAAAATGGTAGGTAGAGATACCCTAATGTGGGGGACTAATGTTAAGTAAGTGGGCTTAGGTAAACTCACTGGAGGTAAATGACTTTTTACCTCATAAGGTGATTGTGACAAGTAAGTTGCATAGTGGTTAAGAGCATAGTGTCTAGTGACTGACATCTGAACTCTCAGGTCACGTGATATAGCTTTGGATAAGTCACTTAACCTTTTGAAGTCCATTCATTATCTTGTGAAATAAAGACAAAATAATACCTATCTCATAGGCATAGGCTTATTAGGGAGGAGATACTAGAACAGTGAGTAGTCTACTTGATGCATAAGGGAATAGAAGTATTGACAGATAGGTTGGTGTCATGTTTATAGGTTGAGAGACTTATATTCTGTAAGGTAGTTATGTTATCACTAACAGAAACAAGGATGTTGATTAAGGACCAGCTTTGTAAAATAAAGTAAATGGGGTTTTGAATAAAATTGAGCTTGAGATGACAGTAACCCATTTACTAGAAATGTACTGAGGCCAATAGAAATAGGAGATAAAGGCTTAGTTGAAATAGGGGGCTGGGATGTGAAATTATTAACATTGAAGTGGTAGGTGAGAGAAAAATAAGTTTCCTTAGAAAGTGGGTGAGCAGAAGGAATTTGAACTGAATGAAGCTCCAAATGGATAGGCATAATGAAGGGGGGGCTGATAAAAGGTCAAGAATAGTACAAGTGATCCTTCAGAAGTTGGGAAAAGGAGAGTTGAGAAATGATCAGCAGTGTCATTATTTAAAGTATGAAAAGCAAGGGGGCCATGGAGAATGACAGATTTTTTAAGGACACCAGTAGATAGTGTGGTGTCCTAAATGGAGGTATTTGGATCTTCTGTTCTAACTCTCTAACTCCCATATTTTACAGAGGCTGAAAGAGATCAAGGGGCGGGGGGTGGGGGTGGGGATTGAAAGCTCCGTGTATCCTTTATTCCTGTCTCCTACATCTGGCCATAATTCTCTTATTTCCATCTCAGAAATAATTATTTTATCATTCCTCGGAATAATATTCCATTGTATGATTGTATCACAGTTTATCCATTTATCTACCAAAGAACATCTTGGTTGCTTCCAAGTTACTTTTCCTCTTCATGACTAAGCACAGCCTGTTTCATTGTACGTGTAATAAGGGCAGGGACCTTCTGACCAGTTTTCCCACCCAGAGGAATGTCATACCTCTGCTTTTTGTTGAAGTTTTTTTTAATGAAAATTTTTTGAATAGTAAATATATTCATGATTCAAATTTCAAAAAGTATAAAAAGTGAAATCTCTCTTCCTAAATGTGTCCCATTGCCATCTAGTTCTCTTTCTCACAGGCATTGTTAACTTTTTTATATATGCCCTTCCAAAGATATTTTATGTATATATAAAAGCAGATGTGAATATGAATTTCTTTTTTTTTTAATATCAATGGCGGCTTTATGCTCTTCTTCACTTTGCTGTATTTGTTTTTAAACTTACAGTAGGACGAATTTTGAATGTATGCAAAAGTTGACTAGTATAATGAACCTTCATGTACTCATGTCCTGGCCCCAGGCACCATCAATTCCTGGCTAAAAACTTGCACCATCCACACCAAATCAAGATCCAGAGATGGGCTACACATTGCCATTGGTTGATATGTCATTTAAGTCTCTTAATGGGTAGGTTCCCCATCCATGCATGTTTTCTTTTTCATAATGTATCTATTGAAGAAAACAGATTGTCTTATTATACAAATGACCCCACAGTTTGGATTTTGTTGATTACGCCCCTATTGCCCCTTGCTTTTTGTTGTTTTTTTAATAGACTTTATTTTTTAGAGCATTTTCTATTTCTAGAAAAATAAATACAAAGTACAAAGTTCCCTTATACTTCCTCCACACCAGTTTCTTCTATAAACATCTTATGTGAGCCAGTCTAGATGCATTATCATCTCAGGTCCATAGCTTATAGGTTCATTATGTGGTACATTGTATGGGTTTTGACTAATGTATAGTGACATGTACCTATCATTACAGTAAAGGTTCCTCCGTGTCTTTGGGGGACTTGGTAGTTCTTTTTATTGCTGAACTAGAGGCCCAATGCACGCATGCAAGAGTAGGCCCCCCCCCCCCCCCCGCTGCTGGCACTGGCTTCCCTCGCAGCCCCTACTTGTCGGGTCTAATTAGCATATTACTCTTTCATTATTATAGATAATATTCCATTGTACCACAGTTTATTTGTTCACCTAGCAAAGAACATCTTAGTTGCTTTCAAGTTCAGGCAGTTAGTACCTTGCTTTTTAACTTCAAATACCTTGCTCGATGTATCCTGCAGCAATAGGATAAAATTCAAACTCAGCATTTACCAGACTTGTTGCTCTCCCTCCACTACCAGAAAATCAGTGTGTCCCATTCCAATAGCTATAACTTTACCTTTTTTCTTTTCTTTTGTTTTTTTGCATTATCTTTTCTTTTCAGTCATCTCCTACTTATACTCACACCTTTCATTGGGGTAGGGGTGAGGGGGCGGTCAGGTAAAAGAGAGACAAGGCATTTTTATAAAATGGATCAAGACCCATTATCTCCCACCTTGTCCCATGTGGGCCACTGTAGGTTCACTGAGCTGTGTAGTCAATCAAGTGACTTTATAATCCAGGGCAGTTTGGTCATTGAATGCAGATGTCCTCAGAAAAGGATCTATATACTTTTATATAATATCTGCTTTGGTTTGTTTGTATTTGATGTCAAAAATATTCCAAAGGGGAATTTCCAAGAAGGGTAAGGGAGTGACAATATGTATATGTTTAATATAATGCTGTGTGACTAAATTTGAATTTTTAAAGTAAATGATTTTTTTAACTGTTCTAGATGCCTCAATTTAGTTTAGTTTCTTTTCCTACTGTTTTGCAAATAATGTCTTTTTCTTTACTTAAAACCATTAGGTAAAGGAGGTAAAAATAGACGTAGGGGTAAGAACGAAAATGAATCCGAAAAAAGAGAATTGGTGTTCAAAGAAGATGGGCAAGGTAAGTGTTTTCATAAGTTAGCATCCTTTTAGTAATAGTTTTGTTTTTCAAATATGGAATTTCAATTTCTAAACATAAAAGAGATACTATTCATGATCTGAGCAGTGAATCGCATGTCCCTTTTTGCCCTTCTCCATTTCTTTTGCTAATCATTTTGGTTACCAGTCTGCGTTGAGGATTGGTGGTGTTTCTGAAAATGTATAGGTGTATTGTGTTGCATATCTAGGAATGAATTATACAGGCCAGAGGGAATTAAGCCTCAAAAGTGATGGTTGACAATTCTATGATTTAGTGGGCCTTTTTTTTAAATAGTAAATAGTGCTACATAGTATGCAGTGGACCATGGATACTTGAGGGATGAATCTGAAGCCTTTCCTTCTCTTCTCCAGTGCCATTAGCATATAATTTCATAAAATGAAATTGAACATTTGACTGATCTTTTCTAACTGATTAACACTTTATAAGTGCCAGCCCAAGATATGTTATACTATTTTCTTATATTTTTATTTTGAGGACTTTTAAACCTTCAGAGAAGTTGCAGTATTAGTACAATGAACTTTTCTTAAATTGTTCTGTGTGTGTGTGTGTGTGTGTGTGTTTCCGAAACCATTTGAAAGTTGTGGATATCATGATGCTTTTCCCTTACTGCTTCTTCCTTTTGCCTCTTAAGAACAGGTATATTCTCTTACATAACCACAACAGAACGCTCAGGTAATTTAATCTGAGTATATTATGTATCCAGTATATGGTCCGTAGTCAAAATTTTCCAATTATCCCAATAATTTCCAGCACTTTTTAACAAAGAAATTATTTTTATAGTCTTTTTATAGAACTTCGGTGATTTGTTCACATCATATAAAAATGAAACATTTTCTGGCTAAGAGAGCTTTTTTTTCTTAGCCTTAGTCATTCTAGCCCCCATTAGAAGTTGACTTGATTGTGACTGCCACTACGTTTACTTTTTCATATTTCCCCCCCACTTTGGAAGAGAGGCTGCCATTTATTTATTTATTTTTAATTTTTTATTGATTTCAGGGAGGGAGAGAAAGATAGAAACATCAATGATAGAGAATCATTATCTGGCTGCCTACTACATGCCCCATACTTTGGATCGAGCCCACAACCCGGGTATATGCCCTGACCAGGAATCGAACCATGACCTCCTGGTTCATAGGTTGATGCTCAACCACTAAACCACACTGTCTTGGAACCACACTGTCTTGGCGAAAAGCTGTCTTTAATCACCATGTTGAAGTGCTAGGTTCACTGTATGTAGTCTGGGTAACTTCCACTTGTCAACCCCACAATCAATTTTTCAAAGTTACATCACTGTATTTACCAATTAGTAGATATCCTCTTTGGCGGTTAGTTTAATGTACTGCTTGAGTAAGTAAAGGTTCTGAAGTGATGGCCCCTCTCCCCCTATGTCTTCTGTCATTTACTAATAAAAGAGACAGGCCAATGTACAAGCTAATGCTCAGAATCTCAGTTTTTCAAATGGCATTGAAACCAGTTGGCTTCCTGGGTACCCTTTTGAAAAGATTTTAATTAAAAGCTTGGCGTTTTGCCTAAGAACATCTTTCTGGCTTTACAAAAACTTCACAATAATTACTAAGACATTCTAATTTAACAAAAGTAGCTTAATTAACATTTAAGCTACGTTTATTTGCCAAATCTACCAAGTGTTGTGTTGAGATTATCCTCTAAAGCAGTGGTTCTCAACCTGGGGGTCGCGACCCCTTTGGGGGTCAAATGACCCTTTCACAGGGGTCGCCTAAGACCATCGGAAAACACGTATATAATTACATATTGTTTTTGTGATTAATCACTATGCTTTAATTATGTTCAATTTGTAACAATGAAATTGGGGGTCACCACAACGTAAGGAACTGTATTAAAGGGCTGCGGCATTAGGAAGGTTGAGAACCACTGCTCTAAAGGTTAGAAGGGAAAGGAGCTTCAAAATTGGCAAAGGCTTCAAGAGATTGAGGAGGTATAGTGTGTACATTTTGGGACAAGCCACCTTGCTCTCCAAAAGTAAAGCAAACAGTCATGAAGAAACATTTCTGATAGCAGAGATGAGTCTGGGTTGTGGCTCTACCATTAACTAGCTTGGGGTTTGTCACTCCCTTTCATTTACTTTACTGCATGTATTTATTCCCAGCTAGTACCACCTATATGTTCTAGTCACTTTTATGTGGACTTCCAAATTGTTTTTATCAAAAGTTGAACAATATCTTATGCCCTTTTCTTTTCCCTCCCCCAGAATATGCTCAGGTAATCAAAATGTTGGGAAATGGGCGCTTAGAAGCAATGTGTTTTGATGGTGTAAAGAGATTGTGTCACATCAGGGGGAAATTGAGGAAAAAGGTAGGTGTGGATATTTGTTTTAGTTAATACAAAATTGTGGTTAAGGGGAAGGGTGCAAATGTCTCTATAGTTTTTATGGGCCAAGGACCTCGTTTTTATAAGTTACCAAAGAGTTCAGTAGAACTGTGATTTGCAGATTCTATTTAAAGACTCAATTTGCATCACCTCTGTTGTATTCCTGCCAAAAATGTTTAACCTGAACCTAAGAGGAAATGATCGACAAATCCAAATTGAGGGACTCTCTGCAAAACAAATCAGGAAAGGAAAAAAAGGCTGGAGTGCTATTAAGTGTTACATTAATGTTAAATTTCCTGAATTGTGATTTAATTCGGGAAAGACTAATGTCCTATCACATTCAGTGTTCGGGCAGATTTATTAGTTAAATTAGTTAAAAGTTCCTCCAACTCTGATTTTATGATTATTTTTCAAATTTTGTTTTTTAATCCTTCTGTTACCAAACTAAAAAGTTGGGGTGGGGAAGTGGAAGGAAGGGAGGGAGGCAGATGAAGCAACATATCTAATTTTTTATTCTTACATGTAAAGGATAGATAACTAACCACTTAGAATACTTCACGGGGGCGGGGGGGAATCCCTTTTTAAATTCATCATTCCTCTAGAATTAGTAAACTGCCAGGTAGTTAAATAAGAGTATTTTTTTAATATTCCAAATTATAGAAAAGTTGAAACAGGCACAACTGCTTGCTATAGTTTGTTTTTGTTTTTTCCTGTTTCTAAATGTAGTTACTTAAATCACAGTTGGGTGAATAGCATTTTATGGGAATGCTGATTCAGTGTTGCTCTTGATTCTTTATTTTTATTTCTTTTATAGGTTTGGATAAATACCTCAGACATAATATTAGTTGGTCTACGAGATTACCAGGTAAAAAAAATAAAATAACATTTTTATGCACTTGCCAGATTTTGATGATCCATTAGTGTTAGGAACATAAGTCATAACCGTATTTGAGCAGTTCTAGCCCAGTATGTGCCTCACCATTGTGTCAGCAAACATTTCATAAGGCTAGGTAACCCCGAGATTATGGTTCCCAAATGCCAGTCTGTGGAGTTCGTATTTTCACTGTAGAAGAAATGCAGGCCATGTAAATTTTTCATGAAGCTACGTGGTCCTTTTTCCTTTTCGGATATTTAAAATTTTTCCTTTTTAGCCCAGGCCGGTGTTTCTAAGTAGTTAGAATGTTGGCCTATGGACCGAAGGGTCGCACGTTTGATTCCAAGTCACGGGCATGTACCTGGGCTGTAGGTACAATTTCCAGCCCTGAGAGTAGTTTTGCTAGTGTTCTTAGTTGGCAAAATAAAAATGTAATCTTACGTTGGTCCTCCCACCTTTTTTGTTGTTGTTAATCCTCACCCGAGGGTATTGTTTCCCACTAATTTTTAGAGTGAGTGAAAGGGAGGTAGGGGAAAAAAAGAGAGAAAGAAACATCAATGTGAGAGAGACACATCGGTTGGTTACTTCTCCATGTACCCCCGGAACCGGGGAATCAACCTGCAACCCAGGTACGTGCACTTGACCAGGAATTGAACCCGAGACCCTTCGGTGTGCAGGCTGACACTCTACCACTGAGCCACACGGCCAGGGCCCCGCCCCAGTTTTTTTTTTTTTAAACTATACGTCTTGAATTCAAAATCTGGAAAGAGTTACTCATGGGGCTACAGCTGAATGATTCATGCTGCCATCCCACAAGATGTGAACAGCTTGGTAATGAGGGGAATAAGAAAGGCACACAGTTAATTACAGTATAAACCATGATATAAGTTTGTACTCTAAATTTAGATCAGCACTTAGGTAAGAAAATTACAGTTTGCCCTCATGAACTCAACCTGGAGACACTGTGGGTCTGTGAAATCTATTTGGTTCTACCTGTTGGAACTTACCACTGTGTATTAAATCTCATTGTGAGTGATAAAATGTTTTTATTTTTAAAAATATATGTATATATTCCAGAATAAAGAATTACAATCGTTGCTTTAAATCAGTGGTTCTCAATCATGGGTGATTTTTTTTATGTCCAGGGGCCATTTGGCAGTGTCTGGAGACATTTCTGGTTGTTTCTGGTTGTCACACCTGGGGGAGGGGGACAGTGCTGCTGGCATCTAGTGGGTAGAGACCAGAGATGCTGTAATGCACAGGACAGGCCCTGCAACAAAGATATCAGTAGCCAAAAATATCAGTAGTGCTGAGGTTAAGAAAGCCTGCTTTAAATTCATACCATTTTAATGTCCGTTCTCTTCTTTTGATCTCAAAAATAACCCCAGAAGTAGGGATAATAGTTTCCTGTGTGAAGATAGGAAACCAAGGTGCCAAAAGATACAACATTCTGACTAGAAAATAACAGCCAAGACCAACTTTTCTGATTCTTAATTTCCCATGATCCTTCTCTGCCCCTGCCACTTAAAGGGTGGTCCAGGGACCAGAAGCATCGCTAGCTTTTGGGAACTTGTTCGAAATGCAGATCCTTGGACCCCTACCCCAAGCCTCCTAAATCACGATATGCATTCTAACAAGATTCCCCCTGGGCTTTACACACATTACAGTTTATGTAAGATGTATAGGTAAATTCATGGCTTCCCTCCACATCAACTAATCTGTCTTCAGGAGGTGTAAAAGCTCCACAGGAGATTCTGATCAAGTCTACCCTGAGAACCACTGGTACATGGAAAGTGTATTCATTTCCTTGGGTCATTATACCAGTCTCAATTTTTGAATTGCAGTATTTAATGTTTAATAACCCTGTAAATTATGGTTCCAGGGAATTTTTGTATTTCAAAAGACTTCTAATCAGAGGGTAATAGTAAATAATCCACAAGATTAGGTCTGCACAGTTCTGCTCTTATTAAAGTGAAATCTGCGAAGATCTTCCCTAAGCCTGTTGATCATTATTCATTTATGCATGCCAGCTTCATACTGGGTTAAACCCGAAGATGTTTTTCAGAGGGTAGGAGAAAACTTAATATTTTGCCATAATCTGTTATTTTTCTCTTTTCAAGGATAATAAAGCTGATGTAATTTTAAAATACAATGCTGATGAAGCGAGAAGTCTGAAGGCATATGGCGAGCTTCCAGAGCATGGTAATGTCTCAGTTACTATATTAACCTGTCATGGTGCTATTACCTGGTCGTATCAAGGGAAGGGATTTGGGTAGAATTTTGTGGATTTTGCGTACTTACTTTTGTGCTTACATGATTTGTTTTAAGTCTGACTGCCTATACTTCATAATATTAGATACCTTAAGAAAATAACCGAGGTTCTGTTTCTAATAAGTATACTTTGGTTGAGGAGTTATATACTTTATAAGCCCTGGATTTCTGCATAATACCAAAGGAAACATTTTGTTGAGTATTTTAAAAGTCATTTCTCAAAGAGAATGTTAGTGTTTGTCTAACTTTAAATGTGAAGCAAGGGTAGTTAATTAGGTACTATTGTTGATTTTTATTAAAAAGGCAGTCTTCAATTTATGGTACCTAGTATCACAGAATCCCACAGGATTTTTTAAGCCAACATTCTTTGTTTCCTCCCCCAGTACAAAAAATTATGCGTTCTTAATGTGGAAAACAATTAAAACAAAAATAAGTCCCTCACAACCTTATCAAAAGGGAAATACACTTTCTATACTATTTTGTAAGCCTGCATTTTACAAGAATTTTGTATTATATCTTATATTTTGATGTATCTCCAAGTTATTAGAATAATCACAGATTTATGAATTTTTAAACATAGAATACTGTAGACCATGAAAATCCTGCTGAAATGAATTACTTGGCATTTCAAATCTAGGAAATGCTAATATATCTGGGAAGGGCTAGCACTTTCTGGTTCATTTTCATTGCTTAGGGATAGCATGATTTGACCAAAGATTCTGATTGACAAGTCTGATGATCGGTGAGTTATTAGGTTGTACTCAAACCTTTTTTAAAGCACAGCTGGAAGTTGTAATAGTTTCAGAATTTGTGTCATTAGATTATGCCTTACTAAAAATACCTTTTAAACAAAAGAAAATTATAGCACAAGTACATTCCATCTTGACTTACCAGTCACTTTGTTGAAGGTTTTGTTTTATCAAATACTGTTCTGTATAATAGCATTGTTAAATCAAAGTTAGGATCTTTCTGATCATAAAACTTAGATTTAATTATATTAAAAGTTTGAATTGTAAGAGTCTCCTTTTATATTTCAACATTTGATATCAAACCGCTTTCAGTGGGCAATTATTCATTTTAATAACATCTTGGTTATGTTATATGAGTATATTTATTTTTGTTTCTTTAGCTAAAATCAATGAAACTGATACATTTGGTCCTGGAGATGACGATGAAATCCAGTTTGATGACATTGGTGACGATGACGAAGACATTGATGATGTAAGTAAATGCGCCTTGCATTTTTCAATGTTTGTGAATTATCCACAGAGAAACCAGCTCCTTCCCCCAACTTCCTTTAATCTAAGAATGTTGAACATTTAAATAAGGGTATATTTTGAGACTTGAACATGAATTAAAATATTCAGTAGACAACTAATCAACTGTTTATACTTTGAGAAGTCATCTATTTTCAACATTTCTTCCTAGAAAGATCAATATCAGTGTGGTGATGGCCAGAGGAAAGGGGGGCAGGGCTGGGTGGAGGTGGGCAAAGTTTAAAAAATAAATAAAACAAACCCAAAAAAAGAATGTCTAAAGAGATCTCTCTTAAGAACTTTAGTTGTAAGAAATATAGTATCTTACCACAAAAGCATGTCTTCTCTTGATTGAAATACTGGTATAAGGTATCTGGTTTGAACCAGCTTGATAAGAAGCATTGAAATTACAACATACATTAAAAGCTTTGTTAAAATCAAGGCCTTTTGCCACCATATGATGTTATCTGCTGGATATGCACTATTGGCAATCTCTTGGTTTAGAGTTAGTATGTTTATTTTGAGGAAAATGTATTGTTTTTCCTAACTTTAGTAAAGTAGTGATGCTCATAAGAGTAAATGCCTCATTACCCTTCTGGTCAAACTTAATTTGGGGCAATATAAGTTTATTTAATAACTAGAGGCCTGGTGCACAAAATTCGTGCACGGGGGTGGGGGGGGGTCCCTCAGCCCAGCCTGCACCCTCTCCAATCCAGGCCCTTGGGGGATGTCCGACTGCCTCTCGCAATCCGGGACCACTGGCTCCTAACTGCTCGCCTGCCTGATTGCCCCTAACCCCTCTGCCTGCCTGCCTGATCGCCCCTAACCACCTCTGCCTGATTGTCGCCCCTAACCGTCTCTGCCTCACCCTGCACCCGGGACCTAGGATTCCCTCCTCTGGCTGGCCGCAGGCACCCGGGGACCGTGGGCGGGCAGCTTCACCTGGGCTGTAGCCACAGGCACTGGCACCCGAGACCACGGGGCAGGCGGCTTGGCCCTCTTCCGGGCCGCAACCTGGCTGGTCCCCGTTCCTCTCTCACGAGCTCATTTGTGCCTGGCTGGTTCTCATTCCTCTCTCCCCAGTGTTGAGGGTCTGAGCATTGTGAGGGCGTGATGACCATTTGCATATTAGCTCTTTATTATATAGGATTACTCAAATTTGGTTTGGGCTCTTCTTTTCATTCCCCTTTAAATAAAAATGTAGTTCAGAAACCACCTGTGTATATATAAGTCTAAAAATAATACTAATGTTTGATTTGCTTTAAAGATGAAATTTTCATATGCCTACAGCAGTTGTTTCTGACCAAGATTGTACAAAGAATTACCAGAGTTTTTCAAAAATAGAAAGACTGGTCTTGGGAATGTCTGAGTTAGGCATCACTGAGATTCTGCAATGAACATTTTCCTGTACTTGATTTATCACGTATATATGTATCTTTATTCATCAGTCAGTCCATCTTATATTTGATGCATCATCAAACCATTAGGTGCATTTATGAATTTTTAAATATATAGTACTACTGTACTAATGCTTTGTTTAAACATTAAAGCATACCCACCCTAAAATTAAAAAAATTAAAAAGGATAAGAAACAAATATATCTTTTTTTTTTTTAGTTTCACTCCTTTTGGAGACCCTGAGCTAGAGGATTCTTGTGACTAAACTGTTAGTGGTACCTTGACAGTAGATTTATCGATTATATTCTGTGATAAGAACCTGGCATGGTTGTAGTTTAAGGGGTTGACCCAAACATTTGGACAGCTAAGCTAGGGTAGAAGGCCTCTTCAGAAATTAAGAACCTAACCAGAGAACATGCCTGATTAGGAAGAGGTGACACAGAGGTGATAGGCTGAGAATCTAGACAGGAGAAAGGTTGTCTAAGAAAAACAAAAATTCTGAATCTCTGCCAGTGCTTCCTCAGGACTGGGCCCAGCAGGCTGGCAGGGGAAAGATAAAGCAGTGGTTATTAAGGGGGCTGCTGTTCTCTTTAACATTTGTAAGGGTGGCTTTGTTTATCACCTGAGAACCTTCTTCCCCGAGACATTTCTCTAGATAATTTATAGGTATTCAGTCTTATAACCAGGTTGACTAGAAAGAGGAGAATTTGGTCAGTATCACACTTGTTCCTTTCTTAAATAATGCTCTGCTCCAACCCCCAAAATAAAATATCACTAGCACAGAAGCAAGGAGACACTACACTTTAAGAATATTCAATATGACATGTAACATTCTAAATGAGGTTGTAAAGATTTACTGGCAGCAGACCAGAATTGAGAAAAGCATGGTATACAGGATTTCCTCTTCAGATTGGATTTGTTTCCCAGATAGCCTAAGGTGCCCCTTACGTGGTAGGCTGCTGCAATATAAGAATCTGTTTCTCATTTGATCTGATATTCTTTTCCCTTTCAGATCTAACTTGACCTCAACATTCTGCATTCCAACTTCTCTGAGGATTGTTCAACAATTTGGATTTCGGCTGAGGCCTATAAAAGAAGATGAAAATCCCTTTAATTTGAATGCAGTTGGGTTAAAGCATACTGATTTGTTTCTAAGGTGTTTCTTTAAAAACCGGTAGTGTTGAATTAAGTGAAATATTAAGCTCACTTTGTTCTTCGGGTGTAATGGAGTTTATGGGTAAAAGAGAGAGCACATCTATTTTTGAAAAGAGGAAAAAAACCTTTCCTATTTTGACCACTTCCAGTAAATAAATGGATGCTTTAAATAAACCATTTGCCCTGTACTTATCACTTATAAGTAAGCCCTAGTTTTTATTAGCCTGTTGACTGTACAGTGTATTTCTATATATTCCAGTTACCTACATGTATCCTTGAGGTTTTGAACAAAATTAAGGGATGCAGAAATCTGCATTTGAAATCAGAAATAATAGAACCTGGGTTTTAATAGCAATTTTGAATTTGTAAGGTTAGTAGTTGCAGAAATTGAACACTAGGTGGCACCCAGTTATCTTAACATTGGAAATACTGATTTGGTTGTAAATTTTTTTTTAAACTCACTGTACATACAAAATACCCCAACCAAGATTTTTTTGATCATATGCATGTATGTTGAATGTTTTTACAGAACTAAAAGATTATTGTCGTTTTATTTCAGAAGTTATATGTGTAAGCTACAATTTTAAATGACTTATACACATGCCTTATGTATAAATGAAAATTTCATAACAACTTGTACAAATTAAGCCCTTTTCAAATGATCCCTAAGCTGGGAAAAGAGGCAGGAATAACAACTTAATGAAAAGATAGTCTCCCATTTCTGAATGGAAGAGCTTCCATGGAGAATATAATAAAGACAATGTCATGCTGCACAGTGTATTATATATATACTTTGTGTTTAGGGTATATTTTATTGTGTGTACAGAATTTTTTTTTTTTTTGGTATGTTATTAGGAATTTAGAGTCATCCTTTCTCATTCATTTTTTCATGGCAACTCTAGTAAAGTGAAATTAAAGGCGAGATCCACCATGTAGCATGTGATGCTTTTATTCTGCTGGTCTCCAGAGAACTTTGCTGTGATGAAAAGTAATGTAAAGGGGAATAAACCTTCACATGGCCTGCAAAAAAAAAAAACAAATCTCTCATAAGTGTGCAAACTCTGGAATCAAAATCTGTGGATCTATAAAACATTGTTTAAGAATAGAAATTTTGAATGGACATTTGTAGTTCGTGTTTCTTATTTGGCGTTCTTGAACACTTACCTAGTTAGACGGCATCTGAGCTCATGGGCAAGTTTTTAATATTTAAAAGAAACCAGCCTCTAAGAATTATCAATAGTGATTGTCTTTCTCAGTAATCTAAACCTCCTAAAATATTTAGGCTTTTATACATAAAGGTGTTTTGCTAAATTTGTGGTATATGGGAGGTGGGCAAAAGTAGGTTTACAGTTGTTCATAGGGGAAATAATACAATAAATAAATAATACAAGAACACACTTTCATGTACCTGCAACTGTAAAGTACTTTGCCCACCCCTGTATAAATCCTTCCACGTTATTTTACCAAGAATGTTTTAACTCTGTGTCTGTGATACAGTTCATAGTAGGGATGGTGTATCTCAAACATCTTAAGTTTTTCTACTTACCTCCTCAAATAAATATGGTTTATTTAAAGATTCTTTAAAAATTACAACGATGGCCCAAATGCATTTGCTAGTGATTTTTTCTTTCTTGCCTTGGGAAGTAACAACTCAGTGTAGTGTTGCATCCTTGAAAATCTGAAATCATAATACCCATAATTGAAATAGTTGGGCTGAAATTGTAGCTTATATCAACACTACTCAGAATTATTTTAGTAACTTAACTTTTCATGTGGAAATGAATCGTTTCATCGATATATTTCAAATGAGCAGTGGAAGTGGTCCTTAAGAAAAGGTTTTTTGTTGTTGTTTGGTTATACTCTGATTTGTAAAATACAATGCTATAAATTGTGCTCTGAAAGAAAATAAAATGTTTGAAATCCAGATAATAGTCTTACTGTTAAGAGGTGTAATAGTTATTACTAACAAACTTGATAGGCTTGCATTTTTCATGTAGTGTTTATTCCACTTCCAGTTAGAGTATAAATATGCTGTATTACTAAAGCGGCTAAATAACCAAACCAAGTGTTTGTGTGATAAAAGACTTGCCAAGATTTATTTGTTGAATCTTGAACATCCAGCCTCTTAAAGAGAACCCCTCTTAAGGAGCCTGCAAACAATGCATGATGAAAATTCTTGCATTTTATTAAGGAATGGCCATTGGTTTACTCAACACATCTTAGGGTATCATGGCTATAAATTTAGTTGCTTACAAAACTCTTTGTGACTTGTGGTTAAACTTAGTCTCACATATGTAAATATTAAATTATAGGATGTTGAATAACATCTTTAAATTGCTGTCTGTATTGACTAAAGAGCAACTGAGTAATCCATTAGGTAAAAGCATGTTTCAAAAGAAACCTAAGTGGATTTATACTTTATTTGTATTATGTACAGATTTAACAGCATTCAGTATTAACTGTGGCTTGACTGTTAAAGTATCAGAATGCAAATGAGGTTCTTTATGTTACCTGACTGTCATAAAGATGAAAAAGATTTGTATCGGTATGAGGTGTTAAGATTTTTTATCCTGCTTTGCAAGGAGAAGTTTCATTTTTGCTGTTTGGACTCCCATGAACTTTCACACTACCTAAAACTACCATCATTTTTATCCTTGCTTTTTTTTTCTTCCTATTCAGAAAAGTATACAATCTGAATTAAGTCTTACTATAAGTGTGATAAGACACTAGCCTCTCCAAGGAATTTGGAGAGTGTATTGGACTATGTCCTCTCTTCTCCCCAGCTGCCAGGTGCTTAGAAGGCAATGTGAGGGAGAGTGAAGAGCATGGGCCCTGGAGTCAGCCTGTGTCCCAAACCCCACTCTCCCTTTTACCTACAGGTGACCACAGGTACCTTCAGTTTGTCTCAGCTTCAGGCTCCTCACCTGTAAGATGGGGGTGACAAGAACAGTACCTGCAGTCACAGAATTGCTGGGAATTAATTTGTGATTCATACATGTAATGAACGTAGAGCCGTGTCCACTGCTTTTCATTCAATATCTAGGATTGTGTGAGATAGAATATGCGTGTCTTTCACATTCTCTATTTACCATTTCTTTTACTTGTAGTCTTGGGTTCCTGTAATAAAAGAAATGTATAGGTAGAATATATATTTGTATATTCATGTTGACACTATTTAAAATAATTGCTACCACCTGGCCTGGGTGGTTCAGTGGTGGAGCATCGACCCATGAACCAAGAGGTCACCCGTTGGATTCCTGGTCAGGGCATATGCCCGGACTGCTGGCTCAATCTTCAGTAGGGGCTGTGCAGGAGGCAGCCGATCAATGTTTCTCTCTCATCGATGAACTATTCCTCTCTTCCCCTCTCTCTAAAATCAATAAAAACATATTTAAAGTAATTGCTACCATCATTTAATTCATTGTAAGACTAACAGATGGAAGCCTCCAAATTGCTTGAAGATGTTTTGCTAAATACCAACTGCTCTATATTTCTTTAGAGAAAGTTTATAGTAATAGTGATAGCTTTGGTTATATTTCATTCTTAAGTCTTTAATGAGTCCTTTTACATCCTTTTATAGATTCATGAAATCTAATTAGTATTGACTGATTTGGAGGTTTTGTTTTCCATGTGGAATTACGTAAAAAAAATCAGATGCAAAGTAATTGCAATTAGAAAATAAAATGAAATAACTTACAACACTGCAATTGATTCTTTCAAACTGTGACATTTTTAACTAAAACTTATTTGTGATTCTTTTATGAGATTTTTATTTTTAAAAAATGATACGTAATATATGAGGGAAATGTATGCTTATCTGTTTTTTATTTGTGCTTCTGGTTATTTGATTTAGATGAATCCATTCAGTGAGACTTCATATATGGGGTTGCATTTTCTGGGTGAGTTAATTGGTTACACACCTGTGCTGAAGATGACATTTTCTAATGTTAATTGTCCAGAATGACCTTTTCAAAATCACATCCAACGGACCTTATTTTGTACTATGCAAAGATATATAGGTGAAATAGATATTTATTATTAACTTGCTCATTCTTAAAAAGCCCGTCTTTTCTGTTCCAGTCCAGGCTTTTAGTTCACAACTTGATATAATGGCAGATCAGAAAGTGGGGACAGAATCTAAGTGAAATCCTATTGCTGATTTGATCCACTGGAGTGTCAGATAGAGAATTGGTTGGGTCTTTTGCAAATTTGATACAGTTCAGTACATAGTTTATGATATTAAATATTAGAAATCTAAGAATAATTGAAATATTTTTGATAAAGGTTATCAAAAGCAAACAATTTTTTAAAGTGAATTTTACCTAGCTGTTCCTGCAAAGCAATAAAAACTCTTAATCTCATTAAATCCAGCCCTTGAGTGCACATCTTTTTAATATTTCATGTGACAAAATAGGAAGTGCTACATAAAGCACTTCTGCTCATCCTGGGAAGTACAGTTGTCTCAAGGAAAAACGTGTGTGACTATTTCAATTGCAAACTAGCCACTGCTGCTCATGGAACACCATTTTTACTTGAAAGAATTGACTGGTTTTTCAAACTTGGTTTGAGGAAAACATTTTCTCACAAGTGAATAAAATGAGCCTGTCACTTGAAGGAATACAACTGAAAACATTTGTTGGAAGTGATAAAATTTGAGCTTTCAAGTAAAAGTTAGAACTTAGAAAACTAGTACCTGCTACTAGCTTGACAGCCTCAGTGAAGACTTCTGAAAAGATCAGTGATGGTATTAATGAATGTGACTTTTTAAATATTGAATGAAATGTGTTGACATTTGGAATTTCATGGATTAGCCAATATTTTCTAAATGATCAGTGGGTTTAATTGTAATAGTATGAAAAGATCATTGATTCAGTGTTAGGTTCTACATTGCAAGTAACCTTTATGAAATTATCATTTGTTAAGATTGGGTGTAATATCAAAGAACATACACAGATCTGAAAAGGCTATTAAAATACTTTTCTTCTAACCACATACCTCTGAGGCCATATTTTCTTCATATGCTTTAACCAAAATATACTGCAACACATTTAAAACAAAAGCAGATAGATGACTGTCTTCTGTTAAGACCATAAAGAGATTTGCAAATATGTGAAACAATGCCACTCTTCTCAAATTTGCTCATTAAAAGTATGTTTTTAAAGCATTGGCTTTTTTTTTTTTTTGGTAACTAAAAATTATTAAATTTTTTTTAGATTTTCTGATACATCCCTATTTCAGAGATACAGCACACAAGCAAACTAGTCATTGCAAGGACAACTGACAGTGTTGCCAATACGACAATCGTGCTTTCAAGTAAAAACTAGACTTTTGGAAAACAGCACCCACCATTAATATATAAAAGTTGTTTGGGAGTTTCAATTTTAGGTGTAAAGTAGGGTTTGGTGAACTTTCTCTAAAGGACCAGATAGTAAATATTTTCGGTTTTGTAGGCCATGTCTGTTACAACTCCATTCTGCCATTGTACCATAAAAGCAGCTGTGGACAACATGTAAACAAGTGAGTGTGGTCATATTCCAGTAAAATAACAGAAGTAGGTGGCAGGCTTCCACCCCCTGCTGTGAAGGTGGTCTGAGACAAAACATTTAGAACTGCACTGGACTAACAACTAGATACAAATTTTAAGATAACTTCAACTATGAAGTTAACCTAATGGAAAAGGCCCAGCTAACTTAAAAAAAAAATGTTTGTTAAAATTTATTGTTGAAAATATTACAGATGCCTCCTTTTTTTCTCCATTGAACCCCCCTTCCCTGCACCCACCCCTCTCAGGCGTTCACCACTATTGTCTGTCTAATGAACAAAATAAACTGATGAACAAAATAGATCCAGAGACATAGAAGTATGAAACAGACTGACGAATCTCAGAGGGAATGGGGTTGATGGGAAGAGATTAACCTAGTAACTTAATGTGCATATATGCATAGCCCATGGACACAGACAATAAGTGGTTAAATGTATTTTATTAATTTTAGAGAGAGGAAGGGAGAGGGAGAGAGAAACATCAATCAGCTGCCTCCTGCACACACCCCCATCAAGGATCTAGCCAACAACCTGGTCATGTGCCCTAACCGGGAATTGGGAATAGAACCAGCAACACAGTGCACAGAACAAGGCTCAACCAACTGAGCCACACCGGCCAGGGCACAAACTCGTTTTTAAAAAATGTGTTTTTATTAATTTCAGAGAGGAAGGGAGACACAGAAACATCAATGATGAGAGAGAATCGTTGATCGGCTGCCACCTGCACACCCCTCCACTGGGGATCAAGCCTGCAACCCCAGTAATCAAACCCTGACCTCCTGGTTCATAAGTCGAGGTTCAACCATTGAGCAACACTGGCTGGGCACAAACTCATTTTTAAAACATGCCTCAAATAGACACTGTTCATAGATGGTATGATGATAAAAAAAAGTCAATTCTCTCCATAAGCCATAGTAATAATAGATGCCATAACAGACAGAAATATCAGAATGGAGAGCTCAGATACCTATGCGGATGTGATATATAATAAAAAGTGCTTTGTTTCAGAATCATTGGGGAAAGGAGAAATTAATAGATGGTGCTGGGAAAACCACTTTATAGAGAAAAGTAAATATGGAACTATCATATCACATACAAGAAATACAATTGTTTTAGAGTTAAGGTAAATCTGTAATGGAAAATACAGACTATCTTGGAGTTGTGGTAGTATACTAGTATACTAAACAAGACCTCTGATTTTTTTAAAAATATATTTTATTGATTTTTTACAGAGAGGAAGGGAGAGGGATAGAGAGTTAGAAACATCGATGATAGAGAAACATCGATCAGCTGCCTCCTGCACACTCCCCACTGGAGATGTGCCCACAACCAAGGTACATGCCCCTGACCGGAATCGAACCTGGGACCTTTCAGTCCGCAGCCCG